CACGAATTCCTTGAGTTTGAGTTTAGACCAGATGGTAAGTATGTGCATGAGGTTTTAAGAAGGTTCCGTCGAATATTTGTGGGACAAAAGTGGTTTTGTGAAGGAAGGCGACAAGGTAGTAGAAAGTCTCGGCGTTTGTTTATGTTCCGGAAATCCTTGTTTTTATTGATATTTGTATTGTTATTGATTCCTACATTCTCCAGATCTGTTTTATTATGTGTCATAGAGGCTTTTTTGGATGGTATTGATGGGAAAAAAGGTCAGGGAGAAGGTTTTCAGAAATGTAGACTGGAGTAGAAAGTTGCATGTCAAAGCGGCGTCTGTTTCTACTTTTGAAATAATTTCGTTGGCATTAGAATTAATATTGGCCGAGGTTACACATGGCAGCCGTATCCAATTTGTAGTGGTTAGGCATATGGCACACGTGTGTATGTACATATAAAGGTTATTTCCGGGTAATAAGTACTAGCCTAACCTAATTGAGCGTGGTATCATCTCATATCTTGCTTGTTTCACCACGTATGTGCAGGACACCAGTTGAGGACTTTTCTGCCATACCGGTAGCTATTGCCATTAGTATTTAGGTATTGTTACAGTTTTTAGATTTGATGCAAAGGATTTTTTGTATAGACTACCACAAAAATCGTCTCATGAACCAAAAATCTTCCTAACCTGGGGCTTTGCTCCCTAGCCCCTTCACAATCACCAAATTTCCCAAGTCAGTGGCTCTGCCCCCCAGACCCCCTGCCGATTGTTGTTTCTCACTACTTGAAATGTGTTGAAAAACAAACCTGGTTGACGTATTGATATTGCACTGTAATCATCTTAAGCGATTCAGAAAAATTCAGAGTATAAATGCTTCTAAAAGCCGCAGTAATTTTAAAGTTTCACACTACCAGCTAAACTTCCAATTATTATCCTTGTTTCAATTATGCATGTTATAAAATGTGTAAATCTGTTATTTTCTATCTCAAATTATATAAAATTTAGTGACTGCACCAACTCAGATACTCTAGGTATTCCTAACAAATCCACAAACATTGCTGTATGAGCCAAAACTTCAAATCACGGTGCTTCACCCTCTAGATACCCATTAGATTGCTGTATTTCCCTGTCGGGGGCTCCGCCTTTAGATTGCTGTGGACTTGCTCACCGCCGTGCATTTATTGGGTCTTATTTCCTTCATTTATAACATTATTGTTCAGCATAGATTATTTTGTGAATAAGTGAGTGAATTTTTTCCCTTTCTTTATATTTTCAATTACATTTTCCCATCAAGTGTACCAAACTATTATTTGTTGCACAACTTTCTGATCATTACTGCAGTGATTTAGTCTTGTATTGATTAGTTTTTGGTTTATTGCTAATTAGTTGATAGGTGGTGATTGAGATTGTAATTGGGATCTATGAGTATGGATATGGATCAGTAGTTTAACTGAATATGATATGAAAATAAGAGTTGTTTCACCTTTTACCTTGTATGTTGCATTCTGTATGAATACATTCCTCTTTTCCTAACAATTCTCTAAATTATTCCTTTGTTATTCTTTCTCTTTATTTTCTGATTCTTCTTTTTTTCCAAGAAATATTAAAAGGTCTTTGTTTTCTGTCTTTATCAGGCAAGCTTCGATATGCCAACAACTCCAACTACAAGAATGATGTTATGATCCGTAAAGAGGTTGGTATTTTGTTTAAATCATGTGGACATGGACAGACCTCCCTACACACCACACACACAAAAAATGTGTATGCATCTATTTATATCTGAGATAGGGCTGAAATCAGTGCTTTAATTTCATAGCTGAAACCAAAGCTATAACACCTTTATCATGTGAAAATCTTTCATTGTAGTCTCAGCAGAATTTGAATTGTATAGCTGGTAATGCTTTTCTCATTTTTCTTCTTAGTAGTAAATTTTCTCTATATTTTATTTTTTTACTCTCTCCCTCCTGCTTCCAGGCATATGTTCATAGATGTGTCATGGAAGAGCTCAAGAGAATCATTGATGACTCGGAGATCATGCAGGAAGATGACGCACTTTGGCCACAGCCTGACCGTGTGGGCAGGCAGGAGCTAGAGATTGTCATTGGTGATGAACACATCTCCTTCACTACCTCCAAGATTGGCTCCCTCGTCGATGTTAATAACTCCAAGTAAGAGTTGTATTTATCAATCAATATAGAGAAAAGAAAACAAAAGATTGGAAAGGTGCTATCTAAACATTATTAGTTTTAGATATGTTTTACTAATTTAAATATGAGTCTATTAGAGGTGAATGTTTTCATGATTCTTACCATAATTATTTACTTTTGTATAATTTTTTTTCTTCAACTATTTGATTTTTTCTAAATTTTATTTTATATTCTGTTCTAGACATTACAAAATACAAAATTAGCTATCTACATGTACACTTCTGATGATTACTCAAAATTTTTACCCTATAACTATTAATATTTAAATGTCTTAATTTTCCTTGATTATGATTATAGAGGTTGCAATT